TTGAATTTTATTGAAGATCCTTATCATCCTCTATTCAAAGCAACAGATCGATGGGGAAATGTTGTACGGTCTATGGGATGGATATGAGATTACCAAGCACGTGTGAGTGATAAAACTGAATTATCAGTTTAAATTGAATTTTATTGAAGATCCTTATCATCCTCTATTCAAAGCAACAGATCGATGGGGAAATGTTGTACGGTCTATGGGATGGATATGAGATTACCAAGCACGTGTGAGTGATAAAACTGAATTATCAGTTTAAATTGAATTTTATTGAATTTATTTAAAAATAAATTGAATCAAACTGAATTTATTTGAAAATTGCCGACAAACAATTTGATCCGAATAATTTCTGCAAGAAAATGTATATTTGCTCGAAATATTTGTAAAATTGTTTATTTCTTAACATTACATCTTTCGGCGGTGAAAATGAAAGAGCGCCCAACTGTGGTAAAAATGATTATTAGAAAGGTCAAGTGCTATCTGATAAGCTAACTATTCAAATTAGAAGTTTTAGGGTTAAAAGAATGGTTAGAATTGAGCAATTAAATCATATCATATCTCGTTTTCGAGAATTTTCGTCTTTGCAAATTGTTACCGACAATTTCACTTATCAATCAATGCTTAATGAATGAATTCTTATTGAACTTTGTACTTTGCAAAAAGAATAAATTTGAATTCAATTATTTTGCACCTTTTATAATTTGATTGTAATTGCTAAAGTTGCAAATGCACCTTACAAATATTTCGACACAATTAGCAAAACTTCGATAGTTAAATCAATTTTCTTTCTGCTTCACATATTCTGAAAGTCGCTACTTATCAGTATGATGTGACAAGTGAAATATTGTTTCACTACGTGCATTTGTGAATAGACTAATTATATTGTCGATACAAAAGTTTATTCGCTCATATTTACTACATGTCAAATATTTCTAGCTGTAAATATAGAGAATATTCTTGGGTTCTCTTTTATTTCCTTCTCATTTGATCGTAAGGTTAACTTGTGATTTCATTGCAGAGGTTTTTCCACATATTGCTTCAAATCTTGTCCTAACAAAATTCTAGAATAATTTTGATATATCGGACATTCCCTACACATTATTTGTTGCTATTATGAATTACTTTCATGTCGTTGCGAACAAAACGATTGACATCTTTCTATTTGCTGCAAAAGTTTAGAAAATGTGATCTTTTAATAGGAATTATTAATTACCTTTTTTTGACGATGCACTTTCGGCGATGATTAACTTTTGTCACTTTGATGTGATCTGTACCAACATTGGATCTTGTCACGTTGTCATACTGCGTTAAGATTTGCGATTGTATTAAATGCTTCACCTCATTCACTAAACAATTTGCCGTATTTGTCTCATTTGATAATTTTGATCTTTAGTACTTAAATAATTGCTTATATGCAAGATGACTCATTACATTTGAGAATTAGTTAACCCTTAATTATATTTGAATGAATTGACCTCTTTGGAGATTTTTATGCATGGCATACTGATGTGTTTTATAATCTACTGAGAAAATAAATAAAAGTGAACTATTAATGAAGGTTTTTAAAATTTAAATGACTTTTTTCCCACTTGTATAGTTATACAGCTTTTTCATGTCAACTTTTTATCTCAACTCTATAACGAAAGGAGTTTTTTGGGATTGCGACATGTGTGTCATACTTAAATTTTCAAACTTATTTCTCATTAACAGGTAAGTATGTGCACGTATATGCAACGTTAAAAATGAGTTTTTAGCATTACTAATTGTTTATGCTTAGTTTATATAATTTGCTATCGCAGTATATTCTACTTCATCACTGGACTTTGCATCAATACTGCTACGATTAGATTTTTTTTCTGGCACAATTTTATTTTTTAAGCATTGCATAACGATGTATATCTATTAATTTATTATGAAATTGAGTAATTAGAACAAATATTCCTTCAAATTAATTATTTCGATTTAAAAATCTCCATTTACTAATTCAAAAGCTTTTGAAAAAAAGTAAAAGAGAGATAAGAGAGAGATAGCAATGATTGGATCAAATTCGAAATCTTGATCATGTTTCTTGACCATCCAATCAAAATTTCATTTATGCAAAGATGATTCCAAATGATTATTTCATGTCGTATGAAATATTTTTAGGCTTTTAAAATACACTTCCTTAATATTCATTCATCATCCCTATTGATTGCTTCTTTTTTTTTAATTTTCACTCAATTTTAGTACTTTACATTCTTGATTGGGATTTTTCTAGTGGGAAATTCAATACGTATCAGAACATATCCGAAACTTTAAAGAACCAACCGATCTCCATCTTCAATAGCAGTAAGTCTTGTTATTAATAACTAAAACTTTGTTTTGCTTTTTTTAAAAAAAAGAAAATCTAATGGATGATTTAGGAGAAATGCAAAGGAAATGTGCATTGCATTATTCACTTTGATGAAAAGAACATAGCAAAACTCCGTGTACCATTGCTGTACTTTTATCATTCGAGAATTTGAAAAAAAAAGAAGGGTGGAGACAAATGAAAATAAGGATGTCCTTTTTCTTACTTTTTTCTCTTCCTCTTCTTTTCCACCTCTTTCCCTCTCTCTTTCTAAAGTGTTTTAAAAATTTCAACAATAATTTTGCTAGATTTTTTTTTTCTTTTTTCAACGGACAATCAACGGAACATTATAGAACTCGATAAAGTTCAACATATTCAATATAGAATCTGTACTAAAGATTATGCAAAAGTATCAATGCTTAGGATATTGCATATCACTCACTGATAACAATTCCGATAAAGTATATACCCGTCAAATACATTTTTGATACATACAAATAAACAAAATTACAAATTTCTCATTCTTGAATGAGTAAAATATGAAAGTATTTCAGCTAACATTTTCATATTTGTTAACTATGCTTTGAGCCATATTTTTTCAACTCTTTTTTTTTGAAATTTAATACTTTATCATTATTTTAATTCCGCAAAAAGTCAGTGTTTTGATTACATGCAATTTTACAATTTTCTTCCTGCTTTAAATCGAATACTGTTAAATAAAACTTTACCAGTATTTTACCTTAAAATTTCGTTAAAAATTGATGCTTTGGATAGGATAGCTATTTAAAGAAACTTATTCGGCGATATTCTTATTGGTGACAGAATCACGAATACTTAAAAGTTTATTCTACAAATACGACGAATATGTATTTGAAAGAAAAAGTGCAATATTTACTGATGACGTATATATGTCGCGAAAACTTCCATAAAGTAATTTGTTTCTTTCTTTGAAAATTTATTTCAAACAAAAATTTAAATTGGAAAAATTTGCCGCTTTTCAGGGGAAGAAGGAATAAATGATATCAGACAACTTCACTAAATCTTTTCTGTTCCATTCCTTTTTTCGTATAAGGATAGTGTCGTGGTAATGTTATTTAAATGATTATTTCGAATGATATTTAAATGATGACAAAACTGACATAGTACATTTGTATTTCAGACGGCTAAATTGATGCAATTTTGGATTCAACTTCAAAAACATTAAATGACATAATAAGATATTCATACAAGTTACGGTAATCATTCAAATTCAATTCAATTCACAGGCAGTAATCGATATGCAAGGTTACAGTTTGAATGATTTGCATAAAGGCTCTTTGTTGCTGCGAAAATCAAAGAATTTGATATTTCTGTAATTCAAGAAAAGGTACTTAAGAAAAGTAAGGATTTGACCTATCACAACATGTATGACATAAGTTTGACATTTAATGAAAGCATCGTTTAATTGAATTTGATGATAAATTGAAAAAACTAATAGTTATTTTAGTTGCAAAAAAATTTTTTTATTTTTCAGC